GGCAGAGGCGCTCGTGGCTCTGTCCAAGGTCTCCCGAGGTCGCCTCTCCTGCCAAGTGCGGCCCCGGCGCCAGGACGCTTTCGTTTGTCCCTAGGTAACTACGTTGTTTTCCGCTCAGCTGCGGAGCTCTTCTCGGCTCTGCGCTCGGGTATTTCACCAGCGCTTCGGTTTAGAAGTGGCGGAGGGTCAGTTCCCTGGCGCGGGGAGACGAGGGGCAGAAGGCTGTTGGGTTTTTTCCTGTCGCTGTTGGGGGTGGTTTGTGAGTCCGGAATGGCGTGCTGCTTTCTTTTATGCTGTCTGTGCATAAACGTGGCCTTGTATGTATTATTATAGAGACCTTTGGGACACAAAACTGGGATCTACATAAGTATTTGTACGTTTTTTCCCTATAACTCTTTAACTGTGAAACCTTTAAGGTTTAAGTGACATCTTAGTGGAAGCAATGTTTTGGATGCTGACAAGGTATGTTAACAACATACTGGTAGCTTTCATGTATAGCACAGCTGTAGTGTCCTTACGGAAGGAATGAGAGGCTGAGAATCTGAAACACGAAAGTGCTTGTACTCGTGATTCTGCTACTGCAATGTGCTTGTCCAGTTCAGTCATCTGTGCGCCTTGGAAACCTTCAACAAGGTTGAGAACTTGTGTCTTTGTATGCACGCACTTAGAGCAACTGTTGGAAGGACTGGAGTGCTGCTGGCACACTCAGGCTGCCCAGCTGGGAGCATGCAACAGGGAGGGAAAGGGCACAAGATCCTTAGTCGTGCAGCAGTCCTTTTCATCTTCCCTTTGCCCCAGTAGATTCAGCCTTCTGTTTTGTAAGCAAGTGCTGTAAAGAGCTGAGCTTTTGTACAACAAGAAAATCTTTAGGAAAGTAAATGCATTTTTTTCAGGGAAAATATGCCAGGTCTAGTCCTAGAAAGTATCCACACAGCAGAAACATCAATTCATATATTATCTCACTGGGTAATTTGTTTCTATTTCCAACTCCATTCCCAGTGCAAGTCAGCATGCATACTGCTTCATGCATACATCCAGATTGGCACCTTCGAAGATGAGAGGATGGGAGAACAAATAGGATGCCATAAATACCTGATACAAAGTTAAGCTTCTTCCAGCGTGCAAAGCTTCCTTTTTTAACTCCTTTTTTTTTTTTTTTTTTTTTTAAATTGAGGTTAAAATCATTATTGGGTTTAAGGTCTTATGGGTATCTGTCAAATTTGGCACGTATGCATGTAAAGTCTCTGTCAGTTCTGGATGAAAGAAAACCTGCTTGATAAATTTCTCTTGAAGTTAAAAAATTCAAGCCATTATAATGCTACAGAGCTCTGAATCTTCGCAATGGGTTTTGTTACTATTAAAAAAGAAGCTAATGAACATCCTTAATTGAAGTTGCTTACCTGTGCATGGACTAGAGGAGATTTCTAAAAATTACCAAATTAAAAAAAAAAATTAAAAAAAAAATCAGTTCCTTCCAGGAATATGCTAAAATCTGAATTATTTTTTTGTGTTCATAGGGTAGTACACAGGACACAGGAATATAACTTGACACCATGGAGCCAAGATGGAGAAGAATCCTGATAACATTTTTGGCAGCTCATGTACTACTTGTGATAAATGCCTTTGAGAAAGAGGATGTCCCTAAAGAATGGATTCTTCTTCATGTTGTTCAGGGTCAGATTGGAGCAGGAAACTACAGCTATTTGAGACTAAACCACGAGGGAAAGATAGTCCTTCAGATGCGGAGTTTAAAAGGCGATGCAGACTTGTACGTCTCTGATATGACTCTTCACCCCAGCTTTGATGAATACGAGTTACAGTCTGTAACTTGTGGCCAAGATGTTGTCCACGTACCTGCGCACTTCCGCCGCCCGGTGGGAATAGGGATTTACGGTCATCCCTCCCACCTGGAGAGCCAATTTGAAATGAAAGTATACTACGATCGGACAGTTGTGCAGTACCCGTTTGGTGAGGCTTCTTACAACCCTGAAGAGATGGAGGCAAAGCAGAAATACTCACAGTCTACAGAAGATGAATCTCAGGATGAGGAGTCTATTTTGTGGACTATACTTATTGGAATATTGAAATTAATACTTGAAATTCTTTTCTAAAACAAACCACACTGGACTAAGTCACACTTAAGCCTGTTAAAATTGAACATGAATTCTTTGCTATGATCTTTAATACTCTTTGTTATGTTTCCTCAAGAGGTATTTGGGTATTCCAGAAAAGAAGGGGAGGAAAAAGCCATATTTAATTTTATATTGTAAATCCTCTCCTACATGTAAAATGAGCGGCACAGTATTTCCAGTGTTCTTTAGACATCAGAGCTTGAAAATGAATCGGTATCTTATTTAATTCACTTTAAACAGGTGCTTACAAAAATCAACTCCAATTCAGTATTTTCTATTGTTTTTTATAAAGAAAAGTGAAATAATCTGCTGCACTTCAGTGCCCCCTCTCAGAGCATATTTGAAAATAAGATCTGCTTATTTTCTGAGCAAGTATCTCCTGTAAAACTAATTACCAATGTCTTTTGAGAGTTGAGGTGCCTAGGGTGAAGGAAGGAAAACCAGTCACCTGACGGGAGAGATGATCTATATTTTGACTGCTTGTGCTCTGCATCGAGTCAGCCATCTGTCAAGCATTGGTCTGTCTAGTCACTCATCACCTCTGTAAACCCATGACCTGGATCCAAGTGCATGTTACATTACTGTTACTGCAGGGAGAACAAGCCTTCAGCTGTTGTTACTTATCAATACAACACTTTAATTTCTCATTAAAAGCAATGCAGCATATAGATCTTGAACTTCAGAGGTGTTTTCTTACACCTCCCTTTATAGCTTTTTGTGATGGATGTTTTTAGTACATCTTTATGCATAAGTCATTAGCTTGAAAAGAAAATTTCTGCTGAAAAGAATACGCAGTGCATTTTAAGAAAGTCAGGTCATGCTAACTCTTCCTTGAAAGTTATTTTTTTTCAGGAGTATTTTTTGCTTTGGTGGTCTTTCCAAATAACCAGTTGCTATGCAAATAGTGTATATTTAAATTGCTCTGTACTCTTCACAGATCTTAGTGAGGAGTACACTGAGATAACTATAATTTTATACGAACAATGCACATATAATTTGAATTTAATTACTGAAAGCCTTTTTTAAAATGGGAATTTGGCTTGCCTATCTTGACATCTGACAGGACATGCTTAGTGACTAGTATAACAAAAAATAATGATGTAGCAAAAATTAAATGTTTATTTGGTAAAAAGAGAAAAAAAAAGTGGTATTGTTCCTCTTAGAGTGGTTGATTAAATAGCACCAAAGTATCACTTTAATAATTGTGCAGTTAAGTTTTGTACAGCAAGATTTATGGGGTTTTTAGCCCTCCTTGCTGTTTTTCCCCCTTCTTCCTCCTCTTCTGGGTACAGGAGAGTCTTTCTGACAACAATCACAAATCCAGCGACCTAAGAAAAGAAAGTTATCAATTATTGGGAAAACTACCTTTGCTACTCACTCATCTAGGTACACACCTTTCACCCTTTTAATAGGTGCTCATCTTTTTGCAGTGCTTCCCTTAGAGTAAACAACCAGTGTTTTTCCTTAAAACATTACCATCTTTTCTAAAGGTATAGAAAGCAGCATATAAAATTCACCCTCCTCTGCAAACTCATGACATGTAACAGCTAGCCACACTGATCTTTATGGACCTCAAGCAGTGCCAGCACTGCCTAAAGAGGTGGCTATTAGGAAAGGACTTGAAAAAATGTGCCTGAGTTTTATTTTCACATGAATGACCACAGTTTGAAGTTATGGGCAGTTGTTCAGAGCAGAAATGAGCGACAGTTGAGGAATGACAATCTTCTGCTGCAGGTATGGAGTCCCGTTCCCTGAACCAGTGTTACTTATTTCAGTGCAGTCAGGCAAGCACAGATTAAACTGCTGGCTGGGGTTCATCACCAGGCCTCGTACTAAAACTCATTTACTGAGGAAACAATAAAGGGTTGATCAAAGAGCAGAAGCATTTAACTGTTTGTATTACAACGGCTGGAATCGTAAAGGCTTTTTGATAATTTTACTGTTTTGTAGGCATATAATCTGTTCGGGTTCTGTTCTTAGGTCAGCCTGAAAGTGAAATCAGCCACTGAACCTGTACTACAGTGACAGCTAGCTCAGTGCTTCCCAAAATAGGAATATACAGTAGTTTTTGAAGTACTGTAATTACAGGGAATGTTGTTACTGCAGAGCTTGCATCCACTGAATACTTACCCGTGAACTTACTATGGATTTAGTATTACATGAAAAGCAACAGTAACTACCAGTTATTTATGTCTGAAGCTTTCTTTACACTGCCTTGAGTTGGCCAGGTGATGTGAGTAACCCGGTAATTTAAAGGTAGGGCTGCCTGACATCCAGGTACTTCACTTCCAGCTTTGATGTTTAATTAAAAAAATGGGAAGGAAGGGATTTTAAAAAGTGTTTACAAATACTAAATTCAGCATAATTTTACATTTAGAAACTCAATAGCACAAACACTTTATTAATGTGAAACCTATACTTCAGCAATATGCAGCAATACAGCCTCTTTACAGGTTTCTTTTATGAAAAGAAGGAATTATTCTCAGTATTCTGTGGATATAGGAAAAAAAACCAACCAACCCAACAAACAACAACCCTAGTTCTGAGAGAGTCTGTTCAGATTCTGTTGTAAAAGCCAATTGTATTTCCCATACAGGAATTGCCAGGTAAAACTGTATACAACCAAATATAAAGAAATAAAGCTTATTAAAAAAACTAGGTCCTAATAGTGTGAATGGTTTCCTGCACTGTTGCTTACTCCTACCCTTCACACTGGTTGTAAATTACTTCAAATGCAATGCATATATTAATTCTGACAGAGAAAGCCCAGGACACAGAGGAGGTGGGTAGAGAACAATTAACTATTCCTTTATTACCTGAAGGGATAGCGTCAAGCCCCACACAAAAAGTGTGATAACCTCGGTCACATACATCACAGAACATCATTTCTTCTTCATGGTGAGGCTGCCCACATATAATGCATGTTTTACACTCCATACATTGCCAAGGATAAGTCTTAATCATAGCAACAAGCTCCGGGGTCATATCAAGGCAAGAAGGGTGGCCTAGATTAAAACCAATATTATTACTTTTGTGTCTGAAATGAAACGTAAAGTTAGTTAGATTGTTTGCTTTTACAGACGCTGAAGCTTAGCTCACCTCCTGGTGAGATCCCACAGTGCACTGAATGTGCTAGTACATTAAATAGAGATGGAGTCTTAACAAAGGACAGAAAAGGCAATTGAACTGTTGGTAGACAACTGTAGTATGCTAAACACTTCCACAGAAAGATCTGTCAAACAAACTCCCTTAGGAATCTGCTTACTGTATGCAGATACTCACCACTGTTGTCACACTGGGAGCAATGTATAAGAGCTTCAGCTTTTCCTTTCTTGTTGGACTCCTTACCCTTCAGACAAATTCCACATATAGCATTTGGAATGACCTTTGGCTGGAAGGGTAGAAGAGGGCTATAAATTCATTCCGGAAGAATTTACAGATTTAACAGGAAATGTCATATATCTCCTTAACTCTTAAAAGTAATGAACTATCTGTTATGATGTGTGAACCTTAAAACGTAAGACAGTAACTGTCAAGCAGGAGCACTGAAAAAAAATCATAGATTAACTATATAAAATTTTGGATTTGCACATGTAGTGAGTTACATGTAAATCAAACTGGAGCAAAAGCTTGTATTCAATTCTTCCTATAAATTAATCAGCAAACATTCCCCTCAATGTAAATTAAATGTGACATAGACATAGCATAAAAAATGTCAGTATTTTTTCCGATATAGAATACTTCTTTATGGATCTGCAGATTTCCTCTTTATAATTAAATACAATTTCCCATTTGCATTACATTTGTCCTTAAATACAGAAAATTCATTTCAAAAGCAATAAATTTAATTTTTGTGTCTTTAGTTTCAAAATATCTGGTTAGCTATGCTGCACACAGCTGTTAAACCATTCTTGTATCCAGTCATAAAAGCTGTAAAAAAAACCAACACACACTCTTGCATATAACAACAGTTTTACATTCATCATCTTTCTGAGTGATCAACTGGAGTTCATTTGGGTCGATGAGATCCATTTAAAATGTAAGAGAAAAACAGCAGGCTGTTACAGTGGCATTTATGTATGTATTCTGTGTCCCAATCCAAGAGAGACACCGGAGGTTTATCTGGAGGAGAACCAAGAAAGCCATAAGGCATTATGAATTTCAGAAGTTATATTGTTGAGCTTTGACCTCTCCATAAGTAAATAAGTGAAAAATGTGGTTTAAAATTAATGCAGTACTCACTGATGTTAAATTGACTAGTAGGACAGTTCTAAAAAAAATGTTGCTACAAAGACACAGCTAGTAGAGGGAGTTGCCCAAAGTATATCTTGTTTCTACCAACTAACTGGCTTGTTAGTGAGCAAGGAGAGTTCTGGTCAAATACCAACCACATGGGGGAAGAATGAAGTTTCATTTTACATTTTGAAGGTGAAAACAAGAATATATATGTATGTGTACACATATGAAAACAATACTGATATCTTATGCAATACAACTTATCTTTAAGTGTGTATATTTCCCAGCCAGTTCTGCCTAGAATATAGCAAGATAAATAATATTTTAACTCCTTTTTATTCAGGATGCACTGCTTTATGTTTTCTGAAGTCTTCAGTTTGCTTTTAAAGTTAAAACATGGCTACAATCTGCTTTAGTTTGTCTAGTCTAAAAGAGTTCAGTTAAGAAAACAAAACACCATACCAGATGTTTATAGGTAACTTCCTTCAAAAGATGACAGAGGCATTCATATAGTCTTTTTTTTTTTCTTATTTATTTTTAAAAAAGCAGAGTCCACCTGTTTCATACATAAATATAATAAAACAATAAAAGAATTCTAACATTCACAAATGTCTCTACAAAATAATAAATATAATGGAAGCAAAACCACACAAACTCTTACTGTTGACTATACTATGTGTCCTACATATATACCTTTATACCCTTATCCTCCCAACAAAAGTGGCACATGCTTAAACCTTGTCAGTCTTGCAGCATTTACCCTTCCGTTGTTTAGACTACACTCTATTTTTTTTTTAAATTGTGTTTTTATCTATTTCTAAGCAAACCAAGCCTTTCTAGAATAGTAGATGCACTTTTCTAATCAGACTTCTAGTTTGTTATGGATTTGTATTTTACTGCCCTTAATACACAGCAGCAATCTCCCTTGTACTCCAGCAAAACTAAAGTGAGCTACTTTTCAGTCATTGTACCTGCATTAGGGTGTATGCTAACACTGATACACATAATTCTAAAGTTAAACACCAATACAGATGCATTTATTAACAATGCTTCCATCTATTCTTATTTCACTAAATTGTGTTCATGAGAAATCATGCATGTTGGGGGGGTGAGAATCACAGCCTATTAAAAAAAAAAGGCAAGACTGTTCACATTTCAAAATAGTTTTGAGTTCTATCACCATAAATGGCTTTCAGAAATGCTATGAAAAAAGTCTATCAGGTATAAGTGGGAAGTCACAATATCACATCTGATTAAATTTTGCTTTCTATGTCCTCATTGCAACAAGGAAGGGGGAGAAAAGGAATACAGGGTTAAAATGATGACTGCTTGCTCTGTGAGTATTCACTTCCATGGTGCTGTGCCGCCGCTCTCAGAGAAAGCGTTCCAACTACACCATTTTTATAAGGTCCTATTCTGAATGCAAAGCATTCCGTTTTCATATACAGTGACCCAAAACAGAAGTGTTGCAAAATAGTTTCTAAATGTATTTCAGTTTTATGTGCAAATAATCTCCTGTACTTTTAACAGTACCCTATGTGTGCAATTGTAGTAGCCAGTCCTGCAGCAACAAAGACTCACTACTTGTAACATGACAAAATGTTGAACACATGCTAACAGTTCTTTGTTAAGTAACTGACAATAAAAATGGCTCCATATAAAATACATTATTTTTTTTACTCAAAAATAACTCCATGGAAATGTGTGATTCCTGTAATACTCTTATAATGCGGCTACACATTTGCATGTTGATGCCATAGCAACTATCCTTCAATTTTAAGTACATATAACCAAAAGATTATTGTTCTACAAAAATAGTTAAATATTAGAGAACAATACAGAACAAAAGTATTACAAAAATTTAGAATTAACAGGGACAACATTTTAAGTCAGAGAAGCCTTCAGCTTAAAGTGCCTAACATTTAGGCACATATGGTATACCAGTATCTGGTAATTTTATAGACCAACAAACAAGAATCTTTCTGTCTTAGCAGTTAAAAACAGCTGATGTAATTTGGTCTACTGAAAGCATTTGAACGTTCCCCACAAACAAGAAAGCCAATGCTCTCACCCTCCCAAAACAACATCACCACCTCTGACTTACCAACAGCCTGATGGCTGATGGCCGCAGGGTATGCTGACATTACAAAGATGTGGCACTGTTTTCAGTAATACCTTATTACTAACACAATTGGTAATTTTGAGCCAATAAGTAATTGCCACGGGAATCCATTTTTGAAATGCAATGCTGTACATTACTGTTACTCTTCTACAATTAGAAGTTCATTTGCAGTGAGTTCTGCCCCATCAGTTTGCTTTCTATGCATTCAAAAGCCCATTAAACAGATTGGACTAGTCAAACACTCAGACATCTCACAACCAAGTCAAACTTCTGTAAACCAGTGGCACACAATCTCTCATGTCAAGTTAAAGAAAGCTAAAAAAATGTCAAGCTCCATCTTTGGATTTCATATTAATGGGAATATGCATTCTATATCTACAACAATTTGCAAAGTTTATATATAAAAAAAATATACATATGGTACCACAGTCTGAATCTCCATAGTTTGCATATTTCTTAGTAAGTTCCTGAAAAGAGAAAACACAAATGGAGCTTGCTATCTGTTATGAACTTGTACAGATACTGTATGTAGAGAAAATTCACCAAAGCTGTCCAATTCTTGCTGGAAATTAGCTTCTTAAGGTAAGTTATAGTTTATTTACTATTAACTTGGTAAATACAGATAGTAAATATATTTATGAATATAAAATGCAAGCCATCAATAGCTCAGTTTTTCTGAGACAGTTTCTCAGTATGTATGATCTTGTGACTGACAAAAAGGTTCCTTCTTCCTTAATCTCTCTCAACATGCATTTCCAATGGCTGAATGCTAAACTCTATCTCAATGTAGTGTTTCCCCTCTCTATGGGTCTATTCCTACTCCCACCTAAGTCAGTGGAAAATTCTCATTCCCTTCAGTTGAACATGTTTAGGCAATAATGTGCTCTAAAAGTGTTACACTATATTCAGCTGGTGTCAGTATGCAGAATAATAATACCTAAATAAGGCATGTCAATACCCATTCCTTCTGCAAAGTTTTTAATCTAAATCTTAGTCTTAAGTTTTGAAATTATTATACAGTAATACTGATGATTTGTGTCTTAGGTTTGGCAATCACTGCTTGACAGCTGAAATGTCCTCACCCATTTTTTAGCTTGGATAAAAGCATATTGCCCACAAACATTTCTACATAGCATGAACTACATAAAAAGCTATTTTCCGTATACTGTTAAGGTGGTTATGTAGTGTTGCCTATACAACTGTAGTAAGCTACTTGCCTTCCATCCTATACATTGTAACAGCTCAGGATAAAAGACTAATTAAAATTAATGTAGTAACAGCATGTTCAGCCACATAGCTGCACTTTACAGCACTGATCTCTTGGTATGCTGCCATACTAAACAGTAGGGGGAAAAATGGATACTGAATGCTAGTTTTGAACTGGGAAGTAATTTTGACTGCTAGTTTTAAGGCAGACACAAAGATGCAGAGTTCCAATGATAAATCCACAATGATTTCTGGTGTTACTGCCTGGGAATCCGAGAAGCTAACAGAAACAGAGGCCACTGTATAGCCAGGGTAAAGGAAAGCCCAACATGAAATAAAAGCAAAAAGGAAGTAAGGAAGCAAACGGATGGAGCACACAACAGGAGAGCAGCTAGTGAAGTACAGCAGGCAGAAGTTCCGTATTTTTGAAAAAACAAGTATTTCAGGGAGAGGCTGGTCAGGAAAGAAGTTCAGTCAGGGGCTTTTTTCTTCTACCTTGTACCCAGGAACTGATTTGGATAAAACAGAACGTTTGGAACCATCTTTTCTTGGAGTAGCACTTTTGTCTCTTGTTTTTTGTCTTCCCTGAAAAGAATCCTCCTGGTTGTCTGTGGCGCAATCACCTTCAGATACATTGCCAGACGAATTGTCCTATAATAAAAATACCATAGCTATATTTTTTATTTTTTTGGATAGACAAACAAGTCTTTCCTATGCCTTAGAGCCAACGACGGTAAAAGAAGGATATATCTTTCCTTCTGCAAAAGCATGGGGTACATCACAATCTAGAACATCTTTGCTCATAACCTTCATTATCTATTTTTTCTCATCCTAAGAGGTCAGCAGAAACAATAGCTGTCATGTTTTCCAGCTGGTTTTGATTCCAGTGTGGGGAGCAAAACTATGCCATTCTTTGAACTGTTTTCCTTCAAAATCAGCAAGAAATCTATTATATATAAATAATATATATAAATATAAATATATATATAAAATGTTGTTTACAAAGTACAGGGCAAGCAGAACAGTTAAAAGTGCCCTTGCCATGCATTTAAAAGGTACAACCAAAAAGCACTGCCTTGAATTAAACATATGAAGGTTTTTTCCTGCCACCCTCATCTACTGTTTTCACCAGGAGCAATCTGAATATTCCATTTGGATTGCAGCAGAAGAATGCCATAAAAGGCAAAACAGACTTCAACATTTAATACAAAACCAAACATCAGAATTCATGCTGCAGTTAAAGCTATTTTTTTTAAGGAATGGGAAGGCAAGAAAGAGGGGAAGAGGTTCAAAGAGGGCGAGAGATCAATGTAAGCATAATTAAGAGCAGCAGCACAAGGTTTTTTCTCAGAGAAGTATTAATGAAGGCCTCCAAACAGCTCCAGAGGCAGGCAATATGATTAATCATATTTATTACAATAAAAACCAAAAGGCCAATTAACAATGGTGCCCTCCAGTAAAAGGCACCCTGTACAAGCACAGTGCTAATCAGCCTATGCCTCAGAGCCTAAAATCAACACAGCTAAAAAAAAAACCACAAAAACAAACCCAAAACCAGACACAGGACAAAGGGAGGAGTAAGTATAACACAAAAGCAAAGCAAACTGTAGCAACAAGAAATTGTATGTTTCACCATTATTTTAGAAGAAAGGCTCTTAAGGAAAGGCCCATTAAAACTACAAAAGGGGAAAAATGCTACCTGACTCCAACACCGGGAGGGTGAAAGAGTAAAAAGCATGAAAGATATTGTAGGACTCACCAGGGAGATCTGATGAACAGCAGGTAGTCCAAAACTCAGGAAAAGAGGCCTGACAATTGCCCACCTTCCTGTTCGTCAGATATTTTTCCTGAGGAATACACCCCAATGACTAGCAAAGAACTCCTGCTTCTACAGCCAAATCCAGTTCATAGGAATCTTATTTCAAATTTGCCCTACTCTTTTCCAACACAACCCTTCTGCATTCTGTCACCAAAAAGACTTCTGACCTTCTGTGGAAAATAAAAGGATAGTCTGCTCGGTATGATTACTTTTATTTACCACTAAGGGGAACTGAAGTCAGTGAAAAAGTGAACTGGGAAGAAATATTTAAAGACCAACTGCAAAAAAAAAAAATAGAGTATGATTACACCAAAGTTTGGAGTTGATATTTAGGATGCTAAGTTTATATGATTTTAAAATTAAGTAGAAAGGCTGCATAAACAGCTATGCCTTCTTAGCCTACAAGCTGACCACTTTCTCTATTCTTCAGCTACAAGTATCTTACAAATAATCTAACAAAATAAATGTTTATTTGGCAAAATTTAGCATTATATACACCCACCATCTAACATGTTCATCAACTGAACTAGAAACCTTTACATGTATTTGTGATTTTACATTCCATTTCTCTTAAAATTAGGGTTAAACTTCTGGGAAGTGGTTGGCACCAACATACTAACCACATCAATACAGCAACAGTTCATTTGTATTCAGACAGCTCATCTGAAGCTCAGATGCTCTTGAGCACTTAAAACACTACAAGGTAGTGAAAAGGTACATGAAAGTTTCCATTAACTTCCAGTTACAGTTAGTTTTGTGTTTGCATAGAGAGAACATAAATATCTTTAAAAGGATGTACTGTGAAGCAAAAAAAAATAGTGCTTTTTGCTGTGTCTTTAAATCGTAATAAAGTAACTGTTTCTGTATTGAGGACTTCTTGCTTCTACCTGACAAGAAGAAAACGTTATCACAAAATCAGTATCTTTACTGACAGATTCTGTGGGACTTAAGTAGTAAAACATACTGTGACCTGAAACACAGAGTCCATTCCCCTAAAACACTAGTAATTTCTCCTTGTGCAAAAAGGCCATAACAAAAAGCTGAGTTGAGAAGATTCTTCAATATTTCTTAAAAAAAGAAGGAAGAAAAGGCCTGAAATTTCAAGTATTTGTTTGATTAACTTTAAAAATAGATCAAAATGGAAAGCTGGACAGCCATGTTACAAAGTAAAGTACTAAAAAAAAAGGGAGTACTTCATAGTTTATGATTCTCCTACATTTTGCAAATGTTAAAGATTCTACTAAGACATTACTGAAATTAACATAAGTGAAGGGAATGCATATTTTTTTAAGAATACTTTTAATGTGTCTCACCGAATTGCCTTTGGTTTTCCGTTTTTCATCCCCTCGCCCTTCCTCGGCATCATCGGAATCTCCATCACTGTCTAAGGCAGGCAGCTCCGGATCCAAAGGAGGTTCGTAAAGGGCAGTGTTTAATGGCAAGTAACGAAGTTCATCTGGAGAGTATCTGGAGAGGATAAATAAATAAAGACAATTTAGGTACATTTTATGCATAAATGTTAAGTCACATAGCATAAAAGGACTTCAAAGAGAAAGAGTAAAAAAAGCTCCCTTTTTCAGGAGAGCACATAAAAACTTGCAGTTCTGAAAACACAGGAAACATACTAATTTCTTTTCACTAACATGATACCATCTACTGCTTCTTTTCTTTGTATAGCAAATATTTGTGAAACACAGGAAGAGTGTATTTGCAGTGTTCCAAATGTACATAAAAGGTCACTCAACCCCTACAAATTTTAAATCAATCCATGTTACTATGCCCAGACTACACATTTTGTTAAGTACATGCACAACAATTCTAACCCAGGGCACATAAACAAGTAGAGTCCAAAGCAAAATAAGTAAAAAACAGTCATGAGATACTAGATACTGAATGAGAACAAAAAATGCGTATAAAAATATAATTTCAGAAGAATATGAAAATCTAATCACATTGCTTACAGCTAGATACAGCTTAACATGTAAATACTAAGGTTATTATTAAGTATAAGATATTATTTTGACATATATTTTGAAAGGTTGTTTTTAAAGCTTGTGTTTCATTAAGAAGGATAGTTTCACTTGCAGCTTGTAAGTGCAAAATAAACAAATTATCTAGTGTATTTATTTCAATTAATTAAATAAAATGGAAGTCCTTAAAGAATATCCTGTAACATGCAAATTTGGGGTGGTCTGTATGCTCACACACTGAGCAAGGCATATGCAGATAAATATCTACTCTAAAGAAAACCCTGCACATACAAGACGAGCATATCTCTCCTGTACAGATGTTAAGACTTAGGCAACAATTTGAAATCAGTATATATTTGTCAAATGGGAGCATGTCACCAGGTAAAGACTTAAATCTGTGTAGACAGTCAAGTGCACATTTTTAATGAAATATAAATATCCAGTTAGCAATACCTTTCCCTCTTAGTTTCAAACCCAACATTAAACTTAGCCCACATGACCTATCAATTTTTTTTAACTAAAAATTTAATTTAAAAAGGACAATAAGACTGTCACATGGAAAACGTGATCAGAAGCAAGCACTGCAACATTTTGGTGCAGCAACATTATTCTCAGCATACATGCAGAGGCAGACCATAACTAAACACATGAGGGTGGCAGGATTCTAAGCAGGTGTTTCCTGTCACCATAGTAAATACCTGTGCAGGCCAAATCTCAGGCACTGCAATGCATCAGCAGAGACAGTGCACTTGCAGCCAGCACTATTTTGCTGACAAAAGCTGTCACGCTATATGCATCTACTAGACTAGTAAATATCCCAAGCACAAAATTAATTAAAAACTTTACAGTAAATATATTGAAACGCTTTCCGTCTGCTAGATGTAGAGAAAATAGGTCAGTGCATCAGAATCAGCAGTTAGGATGCTTTTAAAATACCTTTTGTAGTACTCCTGGAACTGGCCGGGTATGAGAGCCACTGGATAAGGACTAACTTTTGTTCTCTCTGTAGGCAAGATTTTGTATTTTCCTTGAGGCACCTGGATAATCTGTATTGTTTAATACAAAACAATTACATTTTTGTTTCACGTATAAATTTTTGAGCCTTCCTCACCACCTACCGCCCACAAATATTTTTCAGTTAGCCTGTTTTATTGAGTTGGAACCCGAGTTCTCACATGGGAAATCCAATTAATTAAAAAGGTAAAAGATCCAACTCACAAAACAGTATTATGGATTAAGTCCAATCACTAAATATCTAATTAACTGAATGAATATTAGACTACTTCTAATAGTATATAATGTAAAATTATTTAAAAATTAAAATCTAATAATTGAAACAGCAAAAATAAACTTTTGTGACTGTCAGCTTTAGAATGAATTATCATATAGGTCCATATTGGTAAAGGGTAGCAAAAACACATCCATCTAATTCTGAAACCAGACTGTACTATAAAAAAACCCATTTGTAATAAAAATATTTGGAAAGAGGCTTACACAGCAGCTCTCTTTC